TCCCTGGAAACACAATAGAAATGTACACGGAGAGAATTTTCTTTTATAATCTATTATGAAAATTATGTAATCGTGGAACAACACACGGCATTTCGAAGAATTTTATGAGAGCTTTTTGAAATTATACTAGTAAAATGTATGGTAAAATTTCACAAAGACTCTCATAAAGTTGTTGGAAATGCCGCGTTGTCCCACGACCTTATAATTTTCAGGATAAATTTTCAGAAATACACAGAAAATTCTCTCTGTGTAGGAAACAACTGAATCCCGAGCGGAATCCATTCCGAACATTTCCACGATAGACGCTCAGGTTCGAAATCTTTCGGTATTTTCGCGACGCTTGGAGCCCTCGCCGGCCGTGGTGTTCGTTTAATCGACTTCGTCTTTAAGAACCTCATAGAACTTGCTCGCTTATGCAATTAACTTCTGCTACACTTCGCGCGCTCGGGGGGGACGTAAAGTGATTACAAGCCGCTCTATTTTCCCGGGAGTCACTCGTGTGAGCCGATATAACTTATATGAAGTTCACGCTCGGGCTTCGTGCCGCGCATTCGCTTCTATTTCGTAACGCGTTTAAGCTAACGAGAACCACGAGCGAGTTGTGCAGAAAGCACGGGCGTCGTTAAAAATGCATCCTCGCGTGACACCCTTTCGCGGGTCTTCGCCGTCGCGGCTCTGCGCAATTTTCATTCCTCTTTGCGCCATGAACACGCGCACGAGATCGATAAGCTGCGCGACATATGCCGATTTTTAAATAACAACCCTCCGATAGAGCGCCCGCGGCGAATCGCCGCGAACGGTTCGCTTCGACACCGAAGCCAAAGCGCGAAACCCTTGTTAATGTCGTGCGCGACTAATGATGGTATCCGGGAACGCAAGGATCCGGGAATTTTGTAAACGTGTGCCTGATATCAGCTAAAAGGTTACCAGTAATATTAATATATTAGATGTAGCTGTGAGGAATCTATAAATTCTCGTAACGTGCAGCCATTGTGTCTAAAACGTGTTTCTGAGAAAGGATCTGTGACATATCTGTTTGTCGAATGATTAAGATACACAATCTACGTTAATTATATTGTTCAAAATGCCATGCTGTCCCACGATTGCTCGATTTTCAGGGTAAATTTTGAAAGAAAATTCTTTCCGTGTACTCTGATAGGTTTTTACAGGGGGTTCACAAACATTTCTGTTACCTTTCCGAGTCGAAATTTTGGTACTATTTTGACACTTTTAAGGATAATTTACACCTACTTAGCTGATCTATACACTTACATAGATCAGCAGTAACCTACTTTGATGACATTAAATTTTTTACTCCTCTCTTGAATCTTTAATTCTAAAAATTTACTTTAGCTCCTACTTAAAAGGACCCACTCTAATGCTAAATTGGCAAAAGTAGAAGTTTCCGACACTATTAGTTTTAAAGGAATAAATTTTGTACTTACAGTTTGACCTCTTTTACTGTCTTAGGTCCTACTATAAAATAGAATTAAAGATTCAACGTAGGACCAAAATTTCGATTCGAGATTTTTACATTTTTAGGGTTGTGGGGCTAAAAAGCTTGAGAAACGCAAGTATAAATGTTTTTAGCAGCATAACGGAGTGCTACAAATAAAATGAATTGCCATGACAAAATGCATCGGTGACGCTGCCACGTAGAAGAATAATTCCGCGGAATAAACCCCCCGCGTTCTTAGCTCGGCTCGTTTTCGAGGTGCACTTTCGAAAGGGAAATCTTGGAATCTTTTAACAGCTACCGTCGGAAATCCCGAGGCGTTCGCCGTGACGCAAAATATCGCGCGTGCAGCAAGGGGCAAAGTCGTTTTCCGAGAGGCTCCCGGGGGGCCGGTAAACTCCCTCCTACGGACGTTACGGTAAATGCGCGTTTCCGTGACTTTTTAATCGGCGAGGCAGGCGGCCGCGCGGCTCGGCTCGGCTCGGCTCGGCGCGGCGCGGCGCGGTGGCGTAACTGCTCGTTTCGTCCCTGGCCGCGCGAGCCGAGTGAATAATTCACCTCGATCGATCCGCGCCGACGGCGCGCGTCGCCGGCGGAATTAATTTAAGTAATTCGACGATCGCTATCGACGGAAGCATTAAATAAAGCACCGTGTGTCCCGCTTCGGAGGCGAGCCGCGCGTTTAGATTGTAGATCGCGCCGCGGGGGACGCGCCCCCCCACGCCGGCCGCGCGTCCTCGTTTCACCCCCGCGAGTCATCGTTGCATACCTGAGTGGTTGATCAGGATGAGTGGGTCGTCATCCATTTCCACGGCTGTCATTACGTCAAGGAGTCCGCGACATAACGCGACTGTTTGCCTATCCGCTTTTTTTTCCTTTTGTCCCCTCCCGATCGCACTCACCTGTCTCCACGAAAATGACAATTCCTGTTTTCAGACGCGGCACTTCCGCGACGATATTATTACTGCGAGCTCGCTCATGGCTGACCGAACGGTCCCTTAATGTCCTTAAATGAAAAATACATGGCCGTCGGCTCGATGAAGGTTCACGTCGCGGCACGTCACGGCCGTGACGTTACGGACATTAGAGTCCCCGTCAGAGCAAACAAACGGCGGAAAAATGAGCTTGCGAATTATTATACCGTCTCGCTATAATCATTGTGCTACACGTTATTGTTACGTTTTAATAGAAAATGTATCTAGGTACACTTCTCTCTCTCTCTCTCTCCTCCTCCCTCCCTCCCTCCCTCCTCTCTCTCTC